AGACTATCTCCCATGGGGGTTGCACTGTTCATACAGTCCCCTCCCTAAAGGAGAAGTCTCGACTTTGGCACGACTCCAGAGCCGATCCTCCAATCAACGCGAACTCCGCGTTTGCGAGCCTCAACATGAGCTCTGCAGAAGCCAAGCTAAACGCAACCCTCAGGTGTGCGTTTCCCAGATAGAACGTAGCCTTCAGAGGCACGTTTCAATGCCAAGACGCAGACCTCAAAACTGCGTTGATTTGGCAGAACGCAACTCTCAGGAGTGCGTTTCAGAACCCAAACGCAACTCTCAGGAGTGCGTTCTATCATTTAAACGCAGACATCAAACCTGCGTTGATCTGGCTGAACGCAACTCTCAAGAGTGCGTCCCAGAACCAAAACGCAACTCTCAGGAGTGCGTTTCACAAACTGAACGCAACTCTCAGGAGTGCGTTTCTGAATCCGAACGCAGATCGCAGGACTGCGTTTCACTAGCAAAACGCAGACTTTGGTCTTGCGTTAATCAAGCTAAACACGACCCTCGTGTTCCTTCTTTGGAACACGATGTGATTCGTCGTGTTCAAAATGATCAACATGGATTTAAAATTCATGTTTACCAAGAACCAGTCCCATCCTTTAACGGACAGGGGGTTCCATCTTTACCCTCACGCTCCGTGAGAGGTTCATCCCAAGTCTCTGACTTGCGGGAATTGCTGTCGATGTTCAACCGACCGACGAATGTCGTTTTGCTTAATAATCGACGACATCTTCACAGGAAGAAGACTTTAGAGGATGAATACCTTGGAGTCACTTCTAACATGGTTGGTAGAGGGAGATCATCAACCTTTAGTTCTGACGAGTCAGAGACAGATCATTCTCCCAACCCTTAGTTCTGACGAGTCAGAGACAGATCGTTCTCCAAGCGTCAGAGGAATCACTAACGAGTTTGAAGGAGTCTACCAACGCACTCGGACGCAAACAGGAGCCATTCCCCCCGTCAACTATCGGAGTTTGGCCAGAGAAACTAATTCCGATGACGAACACTCAGCCATTGCAGAGTCCCAGTCATCAAGCTCTTTTGTTGAACATAAGAGCTTCGCTTATATGACGGAGAACCATGAAGATCTCGCGAAGAGAGTTGATGAGCAGGAGACCATGCTCAAATCACAGCAGGAGGCCATCAATGAACTCATGGCCATGTTGACTCAAATCGTCGCAGACAAGGCCAAATCTCAGGAGACAGATTCGCCGCTTAGGCAAGAATCTTCCCGGAGAGGAAAAGCGTCTTCATCCCGACCTCACACAAGCAAAGGGAAGGGAAAAGTGGTTGATGATGCGGCTTCTGACCAAGAAGCCCACAGCCTGGAATCTTCCTCTGAGGAAGGAAGAGAGACTGAGAACGAGCAGAATCTTCAGTCTGTCAAAATGGAAGAATTGGAAGCCCGCCTCAAAGCCATCACTAATAGAAGCAAGCTCCAAGATGAGGGAGTTATCAGACCATATCCTGCCGAATGTGATGCAACCCCTTATCCTCCAAAGTTCAAGGTCCCGACGCTACAAACTTTTGACGGCGCGGGATCACCAAACCAACATATTTATCATTTCAAGTCA